AAGTAGCATTTAGCAATAACACAATACTACTGCTACCTACCAGAGCAGTATTGTCGAATGTACCCGGAGAAAAAAGACAAAATAGAAGCGGCTAAAATTAAAATATATAATAATACTGCGTACTAGACCACACTGGTTATTGTGATTTCTAGAATTAAAATATTATACTGGTTGCGACGACGACGGCAACGGTTAACGCCCGGATAAAAATAAAAGTGGTCCCTCCGACATGTGGCAGTGACGACGGCGGCAAACCGCTCATATGTTGTGTTGTTATAACACACGTATTTTAATATATTTAAAGCGTATTACCTCATCATTTGCGAATAGCTAAGGCGGAACAGCGAAGAAGAAGGTGGGAACTGGGAAACAGGGGCGAAATTCATAATCGAGACTCAAAGGTAGATATGTAGGTATATATAAACAACAAATGGCGCCAATGCGGTGGAAACCGAGAGAAGATGGACCAGTAGTAACCCCTTCTCCAAAAACAATAACTACGGGACGGCCAAGTAAAAAACAGCTTATGGTCGAGGAAGACACGACACTACTACGCACTCCTACTGGGAATTAATTCATTTACAAAACCATTGACATCTCCGTGTTGTGTACACAGCATGTCCCAAGAGTACCGTGGCACTATGCACCAAGTGTAAAAAAAAAAAAAAAATGTAATCCAACTAACAATGAAAATGATTTATTGGCTACGTTTCTGTGTAATAAATTCCCAAAATGATCAAACTACCGGTAAATTAAAAACTAACACTTTAAATGTTAAGTACTTCGAGTGTCGCGGTACGTTGGCAGATACTGTGTGTACAATAAATTATGTGTCATTAATATTAAACCATTATTATAGACGAGTGTGTGTACTCGAGCCAGCCCCGTCGTCTCGTCCAAAATGTTGGCAGCTATTTTTCAAATTACACACACACACACACACCGGTGGTCATCTCGGTATTTTTGGCGCGCGAATTAACGTTTTCTCACCCCATTGAACCCTTTGGGATTCGTTCACCCTACACACATGCCCCGACAGTTGCGTGCTACCACGATTAATGAAATACTTATTATAACCATTACTGGTGGTTGCCGCCGCCGGTCGTGGGAGTAACGACAATAATAATAATAATCATTACGATAAAACGGCGTGAGTCATACGCGTAAAAGGATCAGTCCCGTAACGAACAAAGGAAAATAATAATAATAATAATGTACAAAATAATATAATACTAATAAAAATACACGGTTAGTTACCGCGTCGTCAGCGTCGATACCGGCGGCTCGTGTAAGCAACGCTAACTACTACTAAATGTCGGTGCTAGAGTTAACCACTATTTTCTACACGTTTACAATCGTGTAGCAACCGATAGGAAACAATGGAAGCGTTGAAAACGTTTAAAAAAAAAATTAAAACAGACGCGTCGAATAAAAAAAAAAATCATTATACATCTCGTGTTACTCGGCCGTCGGTTTGGGAACCACTGACGACGGTGTACGACGATCAGGATGCGGCGCGTTTTGGGAACTACTCGTTGCAGACGTACCTCTACTACATATTATACACATGTACATATATATATATATATAATGCAACATACAATACAATAATATCGTACACATTGTAATATTATTATAATCACAAGGGCCAAGGCACGACATCATGCACGCACCGCACGTCCGAGGATCAATACTAATTTAAAAAAAAAAAAAAAAAAACTAGACGAGACGTTTTCTAACATGTGCTCTACACCACCACGGCGAAGGATCGCGCGCTCGGTTTGTCTTCTGTTTTTTTTTTTATTTTTGTACACGACATAATAATATTATAATGGACATTCAACACGTGTTATTAGCAATAATAATCACGATGGTTATTATCTCATTATTAATATTTCGATTTCATCGACAAAGCGCCGTTGTCGAGCCGCAGCTGATGTAATTGAGAATTGGTCCCCACCGGTATTGACATAAAACATATTAAAAACAAATAACAGCCGACGGTCATCGGCGGTTTGTCCTTCTAAGGATGTTTTCCTTTCGGTTGGTTAATTCATCGACAAACGATTACTACAGTCACGGATTCGTGCCCCACCCCCCCCCCCCCCCCACCATCTCCCCAGGACTGCTTCCACAAACCGTGTGCGAGCGCTTTACTAAAAACGTTTTGCCGACGGATACCACGAACCTAACTTTTTAATACCCGGTTTTTGTATTTAGGCCCCTAAATTTTCGATAATAAAAACAATCGATGGCACTGCGAAGGAGGCCAATCGAATTCATTTATATTTTTAAAGATATAAAGTATTTGATAACATAATAAATTAGGTATATGCAATAACCTAGTATCAACATAAGCCACGATTTCGAATTGAGCGCAACACCGGAGAGACACCACGTGTGTCGTGTGAGATTCTAAAAATACGAAGAAAAAAAAAATTACTAATAAAAACGGTCTTGGTACCACCCGGTAGCTGCCGTTCGCCGTCGCTTGGGTTTGGCACCAGCTGGTTTTTTTTTTTGGCCTAAACAAGAGAAGAACTCGTCGTGTTTGGATTAACTCACCGCCGCCGTCATCGCACGACCTAATGTTATTATCGCGGCAATGAGCCTACCTACCTCCCCTTCACTGTCCTTTTTTATTTTTTAATACTCTTGCGCATACACAACGGTGGCCCCGGCACGCAAGTCGTTCTCTATTTATTACATACATTATAGCCATATATTTATATGGCTGTAATATAATACACGCATGGAAAAAGGAACACTTCGAGTAGGCTGCTATTAAACCGTTTCCAGTGTTAAGGTAACGCAGTGTTAAGAAGGTATTGCTTTACCGCTTCTCCCCGCTTATGATGCACGTACAACGAGAACCATACACACGACACGGTCGGATCTCCGGCGTTTTATTATTGCGATCGAAGAGATGCGGACAGATAAAAAGAGCGACTCGAATGAGAAAAGGAGACGGAGAGAGAGAGATTACATAAACAAAAAAATTGAGGCGGCGCGGCGGACGTTACTCAACTGTACACGTTAAGGCTGTGGCGGCGGGAGAAAGTCTAGTCGTCCTTGAAAAAGAAACACACGAAAACACCGTGATGTTATATTATTATGACCCTAACCTCCAGGCCGGCGGCGGCACCACCGCGGTCGACGACGAAGACTCGTTACAAGTCCGCCCCCTCTTTTTGGATTATGACATCTTTTTTTTTTTTTTTTTTGAAAAATAGGTACCTATTGCTATGACGGTTTTCTCACGATTAATGAGTGTGTGTGTGTGTGTGTGTGGGAGTCGGCAACTAAACGATTTCCAACGACAACGCCGCGCATTGGATAGAACAACACGGGGTGGTCGACCTGTTGGAAGGACAAAGGTAATATCTTCGGCAGAGATGGACCGTGACGTCGTCGGCGGCTGAGCCTCTCCGGTCGACCGTAACAACAACAATAATAATTGGTGTAGGACGAAAGGACGGGCGGCGGCGGCGGCGGCGGCGGAGGACGAACGGAGGGCATCCGTCCGAAACAAAGAACGTGCCCCTACCCAGACGATGGCGGCGGCGACGACAAACAAAGACACGACCGGGTCGGATGTGCTACACACATTGGTCGGTAAGACGACGACGACGACGATCTCGGTCGTACGACAACAAAACGGATTGGTCGGTGGTCGAATGCGATCCGCAGACGAAATGATCTCATGGGAGGTTGTCGACCGGTCACACATACATCGCCATACGAGAGAACGCGGCGGTTAGGCGACTGTAGCGCGCACCACCACCACGTGCCTTCGCATAGCGCCCGCACACACGTTTTACCACCCCACCCTCCTCTGCTGCCATTATCATCGACGTTAATAAAAAATATTCTCATTATCACGAGTAACATAATAATGCGCTGATAATGGGGAAAAATACGGATTTGTTCTAGGCGTTGACACATTTTTTTTTTTGCGCTTATGACGAGTTCTCGAAAATCCGAGCGAGCGAATAATAATTATATCGCGCGTGTTGCATCATCGATTCGCATGTACGGGCCGGGCGGCGAGAGGGACACAATAATAATGATGATAACAATTACTGTTGGGGAAAAAAAAAATGTTTTTTTTTTTTATTTTAAACAACCGACCGGTTCGGCAGAAAAAACGATTAATGCGAATAAACGGCTACTCGAATTTTGTGGAAAAGCGTTTATCGAAATTCAGCAGATTCGTCGTCGTTTTTTGCTTAATTTTTTTCTCTGTGCGTGTGTCGACTGACGAATAATATGGTGCGATTACGCTACAAACGCGCGTGTGTGTGTGGTTTATCGACTCGACGTTACACCACGATAACAATACATACATACATATATTATATATATATATATAATTTATAACAATTTCTAATTGCCACAGAGCACAAAAACAACGTCGGTTCGTGATTACCGAAACGAACCGAGGGCGACAACTGCGCAAATACCGTCGTCTTCTACGGGTCTAGGGTAGTCCGAAAGGTGGACGACGGCGGTACAGGTAAAAACGGATCGCACAAAGGTACCTCTACTACCAGCTGATTCCTTTTTAACTAACAAAACGAGTAACGACGGACCCCGACGCGTTAACCTCCCTCCAGTAAATAGTAATAATAAAAAAAGAAAAAACCAACAATGCACCACCACCACCACCGCCGTGTGATGGAATGCGAGAACACGAGGCGGCCGCCGACGATAGGTAGGTGGTCAAAATAAATAAAAACACGTTTTGTATAAAAATACAATTTGTTCAAATCACGACAAAAACCCAACTCGAAAACAGCAAAAAAAAAAAAAGACTTAAAAGGGTTGGTTCGCGCAAGTTATAAGTTTTGGTTAATATTATAATATTTTACCCGCCGATATCCGTTTACGGAACCCTCGCCGACCGACCAAATAAAGCGACAGTACAATATTATACTAATTATTATTTGATACGGATGGCGGGGTAAAGATAAAAATAACAATTTCTCGTTTGTGCTTACCTTTGACACTGTTCAACAAATTATAACAAATCGGTCTTCTCAATTCCATTCTGTAACAGAGAAAAAAACAATTTTTCCACATTAGTCGATGCTATATTTACATTGTCGCGGGCAATAACAATATTTCATTTTATTATACACACGGCACACGGTGAACGGGCGGGCGGGTGTAAAAAGGCGACGACCACACGACACGAGGAAATTCCGCGCCTGGTGCGATAAAAACGTGGGAATTAACAATATTACAGTCGACCGAGATAAATAGGAGTGAACAATATAAAAAAAAAATAATAAAGTCAAACAACTATTCCGATAAAAGCCTATTTGGCGACTGCGACGACGGACACTGCTGCTGAAGTGACCGTTTTTTTTTTTTATTAAACTTACCACCAAAGTCGTCCTGGTGTGGTATAGTAGTTAAGCGTGTGTACCAGTGTTCGTGATGCGTAATAGTAATGACATCAACAACGACACGTAGAATAACCGTGTTTCGAAGGCGATATTTTAAAACGTAAAGAAAAATGTAATATTAAATAATAATAACACTTATAAAATAAAATTAAAAAAAAAAAAAAAAACAAACAAACGAGCGAGCGAGCGAGGAAAAATATAACAAAACTTCTTATTAATTTTTTTTTTTCTTATAATATTTATTTTAAACGCACACGCGTGCCGGAGTGTGGACGACGATAAATAAAACGATGCGACTTCTTCTCTTATATATCTCAACTCCCTAGCGCCGACGGGGGTATAATTTTTCTACGGTCAGATTACTATTTTTTTTATTTGATAAAATGAAAAACTTAACAGAGCGGACAACACGTTTAAAAATTATAATATGAAAAAAAAAAAAAAAAAACATAAATATTAATTTCTTCTCGATTAGATATATTTTTTTTTTTTATCGTTATATATATCTATATATTTTTTTTTTTTTTTTTTTTGAACCGGCTCACGTTGAGGAGAACGTCTGCACGAATATAATATGTGACGGTGGGAACCGGCCGATCTACTGAACTGCGTGATCGTCTGCCGGCGGTGGCGACGACGGAGAATCGGTAGCCCAGGTGATGGGACCCGACCGTGCGCCGGCCCGGCCGACCTAAGCGCTCTCTGCCGGTACACGTTCCCGTAAGCGTTTGCTGTATGCATGCAATGTGTGTGTGTTTTTTTTCTTGAAATATTATTTTCATTAGGTAGTTCACTCTCTCTCTGTGGCGTTTTTCACCCCTTCCCCGTCTGTCACCCGGCGACGACCGCATCTGACCGTAACCCCGTATAAACGCATTGATTCACCACCATGTAAAAGACGGGTCCCTTTAACGTGCACGTCTCAACAACGGAGGTTCTAGAGACATTCTAAACGGAAATATTCGGAAGTATATTTTTTTACATATTTCCTCACCGTGCACCACCACCTATATACTGCAAGTTGAAACCCCCTCCACCCCGCCCACCGAACGAAGAGGTGTCGAATTTTGAAAATATTACACTACCGTGTACGTAAGGCGGTTGTTATAGGCCTCTTCCGTTTTTTTATTTGTTTTATTTCGCATACTGTGCAATTTTCTATATCAATTGTAATATTTTGTATAGATTTTGCTTACATTGTTGATGTCAACTGCATTCGCAGTGGGTAACTTGGAAAGTTACTGTGACACTCGTAATTTGTGCACTAATAAAAATCCAACCGGACAGTTAAATATTGGTTATTAACGTATATAAAAATTAAAAAGTATCAAATAGTAATGTTACGAGTTACTAGAAAAAAAAAACATAAGTTTAAAACTTTCTAACTAGTTAGCGCTCGGCCTTATTAACGGTAAATGATCGTTTGTAATTAAAAACACCACACTTCCATTTGAAATCGAAAACTGACATTACGGTTTCGACCCTCGCGAGAGATTTAAATTAGGTATAGATGTGGGTCAACTGCGGCGGTATCAAATTGTCGTTGGTCGAGCATTAAAATTACACATAAATAATTATATCAATTCGAGTGTTATAAAGTTATGCGAGATTAACGTCAGATGAAAAATGTAAACATTTTCTAAATATTTTGACAATAATTTATGATATTTAGCAATCGATCAATTGAAACGTTTGTGTTAATTGTTTTCCAATCAAAAAAATAATGTATACATACGTTGATAATGATAAAACTAACAGAAATTACTACATAATGTATTTTACAATGTGTTATTTTATTATAATAAAATAATATACGTTATTACTATGTAGGCAATAGATAGTTTTTTTTTTGTAACTGGTATGATTAGATTTCATTTTGGATAATTAGTTCACCGTAAAATGCTCTAATGTTTTAAGTACCTTTGTGATCTGTAATAAATCTAATAACGCGACGTTTGTTAAAACACAGTTAACAGACACGATATGGGGGGGGGGTTAAATAATGGTTGATGAATAATGGCGTAGTAAAACTACCAGAGCGATTTGAGGAGTTTGGGGGGGGGGGTCGGGGGTGGACCGTTTAATTATTATAACCGAACAGTTAGTCTCCGCCTGCCTCTACTTCCGCATAAGAATAACTCAACGACGGTGAGTCATTTTCATGTTAAATAATAATAATAACATTAAAAATGAGTTGGTGAATCACTCTGTATTATTATTATTATTACCGCTATACTGCAGAAAGCATTAACCACGTGCGAACGAGTTTTGGAATTCAACGCACAACAGTAATAATTTGAATTTCATTGAAAAATAAATTTGTATATTTATGAAAATCCACGCGATAACGGTTGCATTGCAAAATCAACAAAAAAAAAAAAAAACCAAGCCGGTAATCGTAGTAATTATTTGTGTACCCACTGTCGCTAGTAAACAAATATTATTTTAATTTTCACGAATGCCGTTTTGTGTACATAATATTATAGTTATTTTGTAATTCGCGCGAAACGTAATCGGTCAACACGAGGGGAGGGAAGGGAAGGGAAGGGGAGAGAATATTAAAAATGAAATTGACACAAACGTTTTCCAATATGAACATATTATGTCGATATTCGTACAAGTATTGCAATAGTAGTGTGTGTTTAAAATGTTGTAATAACCAACTAATTAATTGAACATTTTAGGTTTTCTTTCCGAAATTTCGACAGCTGCTGCCGCGGTGTAGGATATAACAATATTGGGATTATCAATAAAACACAGTAACGTGTAAAACTATTGTATTCAATTATTATATTGCGTTTTCCTCGACACGATCCGCCGGCAGCGACGGCCGTGTTGTGCATGTATAACAATAATAATATGTAACTCGAGTGCTTACAATCACAATATTAATTGCATTATGAAACCGTTGTTGTTGTTTCACCGTGTATTATATATATATATATATATATATTTATTATATATATATATTAGCAGTTATCGTTACGACTGTACGTCGCCGCAATACTAATTATTGCACGGTCGGTTTTTGTTGGAAAATTCAAGTTGGTCTTATTAGTAGTTTTTATTATTATCGTTGTTGGCGACAGCGACCGCTCTCCTCGGTCCTCGGAAATGTTCAGCGAGTCAACGAATAGCCGTTAGATGTGTATACATCATATTTGAAAATCACCAGAAGTCGGAACAAAGTGTTTTATTATGAAGTGATAACAATTGAAAATCAAAGCTCGAATAATGATAGTTTGCCGCTCGATTTTCAAGTCTATGTTTTTGAAATTGATTACCGAAGCTCAATAAATACCACCTCCGGCATGTACACGCCGGTGTATATAATATACTGTGTACGCACTCGTGTTTGCTATGCAGTATGTACTGTTTAGAATTTATGGATTTCTGTACATATTATAATAATAATAATAATAAGCACAACAACAATGATAAAACCCGCGCTTGATATTCCCTTATCGCGCCAAACCTACGATTACACTCTGTACGTGTGACACCATTAGCCTCTTTAATAATAATAATTTTTTTTTTTTTTTTTTAATATATTATTATTATCTCTCTTACGCAGAACGAGCAATAAACTCTCTTCCGAGCACATACTATAATATGTATATTTATAAATAAATGTACACGGTTATATATTTATCTGCCGTCGTACAATGATTTTTAATCGCTTTGCCGATAATGAACTTTTATGAAAAAAAAAAAAAAAAATTATAAAATAAAACGCTGATGTGACGAGTCTTGCTGACGTGACAAACAATAATCGTTCTTCGATCGCATCAACGGCCCAATGAGTTGGGGGTCTTGGGCGGCTAGGGGATGATTTATCAACGAGACACGAATAATATAATTATTGGTGTACAGTATGCGTCACGTGCACATACACACGGACCGAGGGCGTATACACCGCGACGAAGAAACCTTGTACCCACTCGTCTCGTCGGCGATCTGTGTGTACACAAAATAGGGGAACGTCCAACGCACACGGAAAAAAAAGCGGATACCGTATACACATATAAGTGCCTGGAATCATTAAAGTCGGCGACGGCGGTTGCGACGTCGGCAAGGTGTCACTCGGGCTTATTTTCACCACGTGCATACACACTACCACCGTCTTAGAATATTATTATACATATATGTGATATGGAGGATCGACATGGGAAAAAATAAGTGTCGCATTTCGATGCGGACACAGAGGAAATATCGGCGACGGCGGCGTCGAACAGGACATAATATAACACACCACGTGTATTGGGTACACTTAGTACTTATACCCGCAGGATGGGCTCGGATTACTCTTACGGGAAACGCGTTAAGAGCGACTATGGTCATTATTGTACTCTATACGATATTAATACATAGGAAATGCGCGACCACGGTGTGTTCATTACCATTGTTATTTGTTTTTTATCGGCGCTATTTTCTATCGCCTATAAGTATACACCCACACACACACACACCGCAGATATTTTTCGAAACTATAAGACAAAAAAAAAAAAAATACCTCGAGTGTCCGCTTCCGCTTTGCTCAGACAAAACGGCTGCAGACCGTTGCCACAAATCACAATAATTATTGTATTACAGCGTAAGTGCGCAGCAGCCAGCATAACATCAAAGTCGGTCGCGACTATTGCATAAAAATACCTACTCGGCGACACGATTAGATAATGTCTAGATAAAAAAAAAAAAAATTATGTCGCGCTATCTCGAGATACCGGCAAAGAATTCATCTGACAATCGAAATACATTATAAAACGAGTTCCGGTATACATAAAAAGCAGGTACGAAACTTGCGTGAGGTTGATCAGATAATCAGATCCCATAACAGTATGTCGTGCCTAAACATTACCAATAGAATTTTGTTGTAAATAAAAACAAGTCATAGCCAGCTGTGGATTTACGAGCAGGCATTTTGGGCGGTTGCCTAGGGTGGAAATGTGTAAAGGTCGGAATCGGATTTTTTTTTTTTTTTAAAGGGGTTTTTACAATCCCAATACATGAAAATGAATTTGTAATCATAAGTCGGATAGTACCATTTGCATAGGGTGGAAAATCTATAAGTCTACCTCTGGCGGTTACTATCTGGTGCTGGTGTACATATATTCATACGAAACAACCAATATATATTATTTTGGTTGTTACACAATATAAATATAATAAATAATACATTATTATTGATAATGCACTACGGCGGTCGCCGGAATTCTTTTTTTATTCGCTAATCCGTTAAAAATGCAAATGTATGCTACTCGGTCAATCGACATTTTTTACTTTCGCTTTTTGGTCCCGGAATTGATGATAAAACAGTATTTATGTATTAGACACCTACGTTGTGGTTTACCTCAACGACTACATTATTTTCAATGACCTTTGCTGTATGGAGCATACACAAACACAGTCTGGTCGGAAGAGTTCTAGATTCACCTCAAGCGGTGAA